TCTTTTTTGTTTGGATTTGGAACCGATACCGTTAAAAACCTCGCGAAACGGCTGCAATGGCAAGTGCCCCTTTCGAGGCGCAGGACAGATGGCTGACGGAATGCGTTTTGTGAAATTGCGATGTGCTCAAAAACAGTTTTGAAAGACGAGTGAATTTCAGATGACCGGAAGAAGCAGTTCCTGGAAACGGATCAGCGGGGACATTCCGCTCAATGAATTTGAGAAACTCCAATACCGGTTCAATGCCTGGATTGAACGGCGTCGCCTGCCATTCGAAACTTTTCCGGTTGATGTCGAACCTTATGTTCCCGTTCTGAACATTGAGGCCTTGAGGCACCATTTCGGCGAAGCGATCATGCGTGCCAGTCCGACCCGCGCGCTGTGTTTTGACTTTATCCTCGAACAACTTCCCGGGATATTTCCAGAAAAACCCCGGATTTTTGATCTGGGATGTGGCGTTGGATCATACTCGGAATTCCTGAACGCAGCGCTCGGCTACGAAGATTATCAGGGCTGTGACATTCAGGAGCGCGGCTCCTGGAAAGGCATGAAGAAGCCGGGTGTGACATTTTCCGTCGCAAATCTTGGCGAAGATTGCATTGCGCTCAAAGGGGCTACCAGCGTTTTCACGCAGTCGGTACTGGAGCACATTCAATATGACCGCTCAGTCCTTGACCTGCTGACAGTCGAAGAGCCTTCGGAAATCCAACACGTTCATTTTGTGCCCGCGACGTGCAGTTTTGTCGAACATCGCTACCATGGCTACCGGCGCTATGGTCCCGGAGCGATTTCCCGCCTTCTGGACAACCCATCGGTGTTCGACGTGCGGATCTATTCGATGGGCAATGCCATCACACGTGAAATGTACTGGCTGCAAAAAGGCAAGCTGAAGAACTACCAGAAATCACGGGCGAAAATTGACATTCAATACGACCAGGAACTTTCCTGCGTCGAGAATCTGGCTACCAACAGGAAACACATCATCACAAAAGAAGCAAAAGAGGCGTCATTTTTCGCATTGGTTTTCAAACAGCGTCTCGCGCCGTCTTCCTGAATTCAATGCAGAAAACTCGAGGTCACGTGATTTCAGATCAGCTCAAGACAAACTCGCTTTCAGAATAGCCCTGAAGGTAGAGGAGCGCTGTGAGATCGCCATGGTCGACCCTGAAATCAGCGATTTCCGCGACTGCCGGTTTTGCACGATACGCGACACCTGAGCCGGCCCGCTCGATCATGGCCAGGTCATTTGCGCCGTCGCCCACGGCCAGCGTGTCCTCGAAGGACAATTTCTGCTGGCTCACAAGCTCTTCCAGGCGGACACGCTTTGCTTCACGGCCCAGGATCGGTTCACTGACCTTCCCCGCAAGCCGCCCGTCCGTTTCAAGAAGTGTATTTGCCTGATTTTCATCGAAACCGATCATCGCGGCCACAGCACGGGTGAAATGCGTGAATCCGCCGGAAACAAGGGCGCAATAGGCACCGTTGGACTTCATGGTCTGAACAAGCGTGCGCCCACCCGGCATCAAGACGATCCGGTTGCTGAGCACCGTATCGATCGCGGAAACCGGTAATCCTGCGAGTAGCGCAACTCTTTCCCGCAGGGCCGGCTCGAATTCGATTTCTCCCCGCATGGCCCGCTCTGTTATGTCGGAAATCCTTTCCTTCAGTCCCAGTTCTGCCGCGAGTTCATCGATACATTCCTGCCGGATCATCGTGGAATCCATATCGGCGATAAGAAGGAGCTTGCGGCGTCCTTCTTCCGGTTGCACAAAGATATCCACTGGCGCGGTGCCGGTGATTTCGCGCAATAGTGTCATGGCGGCACTTGCATTGGGGCCTTCGAAACGGATATCGGCTGCGACACCGGTACTCAGTACCGTTGCAGTCTCGCTCGCCCCCAGGGCTTCCTGGGCGCGTCGGACAAGATCCTGATCGACGGCGGGGGCTGTCGGAGTAGACACCAACGTGGCAACTAAAGGCATGGATGAATTCCTGAAACACGAGAGGAAGCAGCCTGCTGAGGCTTCAGCCATTCTGATAGCTGGCCCGACGGCGAGCGGCAAGTCCGCACTGGCGATGGAGGTTGCCAAAGCGCTGAACGGTGTGATTCTCAACGCTGATTCCATGCAGCTTTATGAAGACCTGCGTCTTGTGAGCGCGCGCCCTTCGCTGGAGGAAGAAAAACAGGTTCAACACCGGCTGTACGGTATGCTGCCCGCTTCGACGGCGTTTTCGACCGGTGCGTGGCTGAGATCGGCAAAGAAGGAGGTTGCTTCAGTTCAGGCATCGGGAAACATGCCGATTATTGTCGGCGGGACCGGGCTATACTTCAAGGCTTTGACGGAAGGCTTTGCCGACATGCCGGACATACCCGACGAAATTCGCGACGAGGCGAGGGGACTTGCAGACCGCGAAGGAGTCGAAGGGCTCAGGAAAGCGCTGGTTGAAAGGGGGGACGGCGAGGCAGCGGTGACTATTGCGGACCCGCAGCGTCTGGCAAGGGCTCTGGAAGTGCTGCTGGCAACAGGTAAACCGCTTGGCGACTGGCAGGTCTCGGCCCAATCTGCTCCGTTTCTTTCAGGAACGGACTGTGTCCGGGTCGTCCTTTCTCCACCTCGCCCATGGTTGCATGAGCGGATCGAGCGGCGGGCGCGACTCATGCTGGCGGAGGATGGATTAAATGAGGTCAGGTCGTTGCTCGCGCAGGGATTGTCCCCAAAACTACCGGCCATGCGGGCCATCGGTGTTGCCGAGATTCGTGACTATCTGTCGGGCGACACGGGTTATGAAGAAACCGTCCACAGGCTTACTGTTGCAACGCGGCAATATGCCAAGCGGCAGGAGACTTGGTTCCGCAATCAGATGCCGGATTGGCAACGGGTTGATCCATCAGACGGAATTAAAGTTGGTGACATTTTGGATCCGAAATGATGTGCGCCCGTCAACCTCCGGGTGCTGCACTGCAGCAGGCTGTTTTGCGGTAACCTGTTGGTAATACGAATTTATTTTTACCATGTTTGATTTTATAGTCCGATGTGCCTTTGGGTCGGCACAATTCAGGGTTACCTCTCAGTCGGTCGGAGCTTGGTGGTTCTGAAGTCTCCACCGATTGCCGGAAATTGAACTGAATTCATTGGGAGGACCACGTGCAGACGATATTTCTCGAATGTGGCTCAGTGCGGCTTGTTCCCTTTTCCCCGTCCGACATAAATTTCGTCAAAGACCTTCACGCCGACCCCTTTGGAAACCGATGCACGGAATTTGCAACTGACTGCACGATTGCCGATGCTGCCGATCTGGTCAGGTCGGCGTTACAGAACCAGGCAGACCTGGGCTTTGCCAAATGGAAGGCTGTCTCGGATGACGGGCGGTTTCTCGGCTGGGCCGGTTTCACCCCCATCAGCGAGACGTCTGAAATCAGCCTGAACTATTGTCTTTCCACCGAAGTTGTCGACCAGGATGCGACGCTCGCAATGCGCCTGTGTTCCGCCCTGACCGGCTGGTTCTTTGAAAACACCTATTTCTCCCATCTGGTGGCGGTGATCCGGACTGATAACCGGGATGTTCGAAAAGTGGTCCAGAACGTTGGGTTTTGCCATCGGGAAAGCAAAGTGATTGAAGGCATGCAGGCCGACGTCTTTCAGCTGTTCAGCCCGTCCATGCAGTCCTATCTGATGAGCGCCTGACATTGACAGTCCGGCGCACGCCGGCAATTTCCTGACAAAGATCAATTGTCCTGCCACGGTCAGCGCGGCTTTTAGTTGGAAGTCGATAATTTGACGGAAGACATTCTGACGAGCGAACGTCTGCGCATCGTTCCTTTTGAGGACGCGGATTTTCCGCTTCTCTTCGAGCTTCATTCAGACCCGGAGGTCAATCGGTATCTGTCACCCGGCCTGGTGCCGATGGAGGCGGCAGAGGTCGAGCGGCGATTGCAAGGCTATGTCTTCGAACATCGCAGATCGGGGTTGAGCAAATGGAAGGTCTTGACGCGGGAAGGTGACTTTATCGGTCGGGCAGGTGTGACCTGGATGACCGAACCCGATGGATACGAATTGGGTTACAGCCTGAAACGCGCAGCCTGGGGAAAAGGCTATGCATCCGAAATCGCGACAGCTCTGACAGGTTGGTTTTTTGAAAGAACCGACAACAGGTATCTGATCGCATTCGCCTGTTCGGAACATGAAAAATCTCTGAAAGTCATGCGGAACGCTGGCTTCAGCCATTGGTTCGATCGGGAAAGACATGGTGTTCCTTGCACATTTTACCGGATCGAGCGGAACGAAGTTTTCTGACTAATCATGCCCGACGACTGTCATGGCAGATGTGAACGCGGCACTTGCAACAGCATCCGCCTGATCTTCACTCGCCATTGCGCGGGAAGTTGTGAGCGCTCCGATCAGAATGCTCAGGAAGGCCCAGGCTTTGTTTAGCTTTTCGTCGTCGCTTTCGCCTTCCAGTCCTTTTGCGATCAGTTCGGCAATCGTCTTCATTTTGTGTTCATAGAGTTCTCGCGTCTCGTCATTGGATCTTACGACGTCCGGGGAGAGGGCGGTCATTGCGCAGCCGCAAGCAAGGTCCCTGCGGTGAGTGCTGCCGAGATAGTAGCGCGCAAAAGCTTCCGGCCAGTTGCTGTTGTAGCGCCGTTGATAGTCGGGAACCGTTTCGATGACTTCATCAAGCCCCAGTTCAAGTGCAGCCAGAAACGCACCGTCCTTTGAGCCAAGATGCGAATAGAACGCTCCGGAAGTTGCGCCTGCTGCACGCGCAATGCCGTCAACGCCAACTCCCGCATATCCCTTGCTGCGGAAGGATCTACTGGCGGCAGACAGCAAGGACTTCTGTGTTTCTGCCTTTCGAACCTGCTGTTTCGCCATGCTTTCCTCATTTTTAGATAGCGATCGTTATATATCAATTGACAATATAACGATCGCTACATAAATAGGGTCTGTATCAAAATATAACGAACGTTATATATGTAGGGTGAAAAGGATCTGACAATGCCACTTGCACTTAGCTACACCGTGGGCGTTCTGACGCCTGAGGCCGGACAACGCGCCGGCTCGAGGATCACCAACGCATTCCTGAAATGGCACGGCCTTGCCGGTAACCGGGTGATGACACCCAATGTCACGATGCAGATCCAGTCATTGCCGAAAAACGGTGCGCTTTCGGGCGGGGAGCCGGTGGAGGGTGTCTGGCTGGAGTGCAAGACACCTTCCTTCGCCTTCGCAGACCGGGACGTCCAGGTTGGTTTCTTTCAAGAAGCAACCGACATCATTGCCGACGAAGCGGACGGAAATCTCACCAGGGATCGGATTTATTCCAACGTTGTGCATACGGTGGACGGAACCTGGAACCTTGATGGTGAAGCCATGACGGATCACCAGCTGACAGAACGGATCGCCCGCGGTTGACCTCTCGATTTGACATTAGGGAACATCTCAAGATGAAACTCATGCAGAAAATCCTCGCAGCCACGGGACTGGTCCTGGCAGCATCAACTGCTCATGCCGCAGAATGTCTGGACATGGGCGGTGTCGCCATCCCCAACTTCTTTTCCGAAGGCAAGGGCAAGCCTGTCGTCATTTCGGCAACCCTGATGGGGACGGTGACCAACGCAGCCGGAAAAATCCTCGCACAGCGAGTGACGGAAACCGGGTTGGAAATGGACATGGAGCACTATTTTGGCCGCTCGGACGGTGGAGCAATCTTCACCAGGGACAGGGGCGTCCTGACTGAAATTCCCGGAAAAGAAGGCCGCTACATGATCGAGATCACTTATGAAGTTCAGGAAAACATGAGCCGGGGCACGCTGGAGGACTACAGCGGCACCTTCAGGAGCTATGGTCTCGTTGACCTGAGAGATCCTGACGATCTGCAAGGACTGGTGCGCTATTCGGGTGAGCTATGCAAATAGCCTGAACAGGCTCTGTTTCCTGCACGCAATTGCAGAAAGATGATTGTGCCGCGGTTTTTCAACCAGCCGTCCCGGGCCTGGCCCGGGGGCCTCGTTTGCCGGCAGCGTGGTTCGTTGCAGACGGATACAGCGCCTTGGGTTGAGGCTCTGGGCATGGTGCTCAGAGCCTCTTCTTGTCTATCATACCGCCTGCAAGGCACCGGGATTGTCGGTCTGTTGTCGCAGGGCCAGCTTGTTCATGGCCGAGACATAGGCACGCGCCGATGCCACCAGGGTGTCGGTGTCGGCTCCCTTGCCGGTGGCGATCCGGCCTTCGGCTTCCAGACGCACGGACACTTCCGCCTGGGCGTCTGTGCCTTCTGTCACGGCATGCACCTGGTAGAGCGACAGTGTCGCCTCGTGCGGCACAATGGCCTTGATCGCATTGAACGTCGCGTCGACCGGTCCATCACCGGTGGCTTCCTTGGTGATGTGCTGGCCGTTGACGTCCATGGTCAGGATTGCCTTCTGCGGACCACCGGTGCCGGCAATGACGGTCAACGCAATAACCTTTGTGCTTTCGCCCAGGATGGTGATTTCGTCCTCGACCAGCGCTTCGATGTCCTCGTCGTAGACATGCTTCTTGCGATCGGCGAGCTCCTTGAAGCGGCGGAAGGCATCCTGCAATGCGTTGTCGCCCAGCTCAAAGCCCAATTCACGCAGCTTGTCGCGGAACGCGTGGCGACCTGAATGTTTGCCCATGACCAGCGAGGTCGCTTTTACCCCGACATCTTCCGGACGCATGATTTCGTATGTTTCTGCATTTTTCAGCATGCCGTCCTGGTGAATGCCGCTCTCATGGGCAAAGGCATTCTTGCCGACGATCGCCTTGTTGTACTGGACGGCAAAGCCGGACGCTCCGGCAACCATTTTTGATGCACGGACCATGAATTGAGGGTCGATCTGGGTGGCATATTGCAGGACATCGCCGCGCGTGCGGATTGCCATGACGATTTCTTCGAGCGCTGCATTTCCGGCGCGCTCGCCCAGGCCGTTGATCGTGCATTCGATCTGTCGTGCCCCGCCGGCGACACCGGCCAGCGAGTTGGCCACCGCCAGCCCCAGATCGTCATGGCAATGCACGGAGAAGATTGCCTGGTCACTGTTGGGCACCCGTTCTCGGATGTCCTCGAACATGGCCTTGTACTCATCCGGTGTTGCATAACCGACCGTATCGGGCAGGTTGATGGTTGTTGCGCCGCACTTGATGGCGGCTTCCACGCAGCGGCACAGATAGTCGATTGGCGTGCGGGTCGCATCCATTGCGGACCACTCGACATCGTCGATCAGGTTGCGCGAGCGGGTCACCGTGTCGGTGATGATCTCCATCACCTGATCTTCGGTCTTGTTCATCTGGAATTTCAGATGGATCGGCGAGGTGGAAACGAATGTGTGGATCCGGCCCTTGCCGGCGTGTTTCACAGCTTCGCCGCAGCGGTCGATATCGGCGTGGATGGCGCGGGCGAGACCGGCTATCACGGAGTTCTTCGAGCGCTTGGCGATTTCACCGACGGCTTCGAAGTCGCCGTTGGAGGCAATCGGGAACCCGGCTTCGATGATGTCGACGCCCATGTCGTCGAGGATCTCGGCAATCTGCAGTTTTTCTTCCAGCGTCATTGAGGCGCCGGGCGATTGTTCACCGTCGCGCAAAGTGGTGTCGAAAATGCGGATATGGTCCGTTTCGGGGGTGGCAGTCATGTCGTTTCGTCCCTGGCTTGGATCGCCGGTTCTATATCCCTTGTCTGGATTAGACCACTGTGCGACCCGGAAATCATGTTGCGGGTTTTTGAAATATCTCCCCTAAGTGCCCGTTCCGCCAAATCAAAACGCGGATCAGCCGACGCTCAGGGGCATCTAAGAAGGAGGAGATCGCCAAGTAGAAGGAGGCCGCCGCGCTGCTTCAGCGCGTGGAAGTCAGATCCGGAAATGTCGCGAGCCGCGATCATGGGTCTCAACTGGGCCTTCGGTCGTCTTCTGTTTCAGCCACCAAGCTTGAGGGAAAAGCATGAGCAGGTGGTTAACGGAATTTGTTCTTACGGCAGGATGGGTCCTGTTGCAACAGTCAGTTTACGCTTGTGTATGACGGAAGGCTCGAGAAAGTCGTTTTGGATTGACCTGGCATCGGCCCGCAGACCGGGTACTTGTTGCGTTTGCGCAACTTGATTTCAGTTTGGCGCGGGATTTGAAATTGCCGGTTGAATCGATAAGTGCTTGCCGTTAAGAACCACGGACTTCGCGCCGTGGATGTGGCGTATCAAGGAGAAATGCGTTGCTGGATAGAGACACCTTACCGGGTCTGCGCTGCGGCGCCCTCCAGTCTCCACTGTAAGCACGCCCCATGTGCTGCGGTCGAGGCCGGAACTGAGCTGACCGCACAAACCCCAGACAAGTGAAAGTATTCGGGTGCTGAAAGTGCGCGTATTCGCGCCGAACAGACCCGATTTGGGATTTGGGAAAAACCGTGAACGAATATCAGATGGTGAAAGCCGTGCTGCTCCACTTGAGCCGCGGGCTTTCCGAGGATGCCCCCTTGGCCAAGGCGCTGAGAGACTGGGTGTTGGACAATCTGGCCTGGCTTGATCTGGGCCTTCGAAAAAGAGACGCAACAAACTGGGACGCCTTGCAACAGGCGCTCCAGGACTGGCGGCTGCCCGAGGCTCCCGTGCCTTATGTTACGGAAATCTCCGATACGCTTGCCGAGCTGCTCGGGCTGGATGTCGAAAACAGCACCCTGCTGGCTCTGCTCATCGGCTGCGATCGTCTGCCGAAGTTGCAAAACCTCACGGAAGTTGTGATCGGAAAAGGGGTCGATCTGCCGGTATTGCTCGCCGAGCTTTGCGGCGTTTCGGCCCATGAAGCATTGCGCTTTGTCAGGCGCAGCCCCGTGTTCCGGCTGGGCCTGATCGGTTTTCAGGCATATCGCTCGGGCGTTGTGTCGGTCGACATCAAGTGGGCGCTGGAAAAGTTGCTGGATCGTGCTCCGAGCCATGGCGAGGAATTCGTCGATGCGCTGATTGGTCCGCGTCACAAGACAAGCCTGTCCATGGAGGATTTTGCCGAAGTCGAGGATGCACCTTTTCTTGCGAGCCTGATCGCGGGTGCTGCCAGGGAGCAGGCAAAAGGCATCAACATCCTGATCTATGGTCCGCCGGGTACGGGCAAGACCGAACTGGCACGTGTGCTTTGCCGCGAGGCAGGCATGCGTCTTCATGCCGTCGGTGAGGTCGATGATGACGGGGAAGAGCCGACACGTTACGACCGCGTCAGTGCACTTCTGCTTGCACAGCGTGTTCTGAAGGACGGCAAGGAAGCCGCGATCCTGTTTGACGAAATGGAGGATTTCATCGGCGATGCGCAACGCAGCTCTGGTGACTGGATGACGCGCCGTGACGGCAGCAAGGTGTTCGTCAACCGCATGCTGGAAGACAACCCTGTTCCCGTCATCTGGACAACAAACGCCGTCGGCAACATGGATGATGCGATCATCCGCCGGATGAGTTTTGTCCTGAAAATGGACTATCCGGTGCGCAAGGCAAGGCAGCGCGTTGCCGCTCGCATCTGTGCCGACGAGAAAGTGGAATTTTCCAGGGAAGTTGCGGATCTGGTCGAAAGCGCTGCTGAATCGACGACCATTCTGCGCACTGCAGCAAGGGCCTCGAGGCTGGCGGGGGCAGGAGGGAGCGTCGAAAGACCTGCGGAAGTGCTGGTAAAGACGCTTCGCGGCGGGGAAATGCCGAACCGGGTACCGCAGGAGATTGATCTGGGCCTCTACAACACCGAGCCTTCGCTGGGTGCTGTGATGGAGAGCATCGCGGAATGTGGCCACAGTGATGTTTCGCTGTTGCTCAGCGGCCCTCCAGGCACGGGCAAAACGGCTTTTGCGCATCACTTTGCAACTCGCCTGGACAAGCCGTTGCTGACCAAGCGGGCCTCAGATCTTCTGTCCAAATGGGTCGGTGGCACGGAGCGCAATATCGCCGAAGCCTTCGCCGATGCGCGGCAGGAGCAGGGTGTCCTGTTTTTCGACGAGGCGGACAGCCTGATGTTCGACCGAGGCACAGCGAGCGCGAATTGGGAAGCCGGGCAGGTCAACGAACTGTTGTCGTGGCTTGATAATCATGACCAGCCAGTGCTGGCGGCAACCAACTTTGCATCAAAGCTGGACGCGGCCACCCTGCGCCGGTTTGATTTCAAGCTGGAACTGAAGCCGCTCGACAAGGCTGGCCTGTCACACGCGTTTCGCAGGTTCTTTGGAGCCGAAGCGCCTTTGGAAATTGCTTGCATGCGCAATTTGACACCCGGAGACTTTGCCGTCGTCAGGAAGCAGATGCGGTTCAACAAGAGCCCGTCTGTGCACGACATTACCCGTGCGCTGATGAAGGAGGCCAGGATGAAGCCTGAAACCGGACTGTCGATCGGGTTTGTATGAAATTGAACACGAGCCTTCAAGGATCGGTTTTAATTTCCTAGTCCATGGATCCGGTAGATTTTCGGCGTTGAAACGAAACTGCGCCTGGGGACCGACAAGCTCCCCAGGCGCAGTTTTGGTGCACGCGTGTGGAGAAAAATTGAAGCGGTTCTATCATCCGCTTCACTTTTCAAGGTTTCGAAGCGGAATGAGAAGCTTCTGATTTTACGCTGGTCCACGCAATGATATTCGTGTTTGCCATGTGCTCCACGGTCGTGAGTTCTTTAGCGGTTGCAATCCGGGCAGTCTTTTGATGTAGCTTGGCGAACTCGTCAATTTTGTCAGGGTTCGTGCGCCATGAAGGTTCAATTTGTTTTCCTGATTTCAAGTTCCTTTTTGCTTGCAGCATGCAACACGTCGTCAACAGGTTCAGGAACACCTTCGGTACCCGATAAGGACACTCCCGCGGTGGAACGTGGCATCCCTGGAGAATGGAACCTGAAGGCAACGGACAGTGTTCTGTCGTGTCGCGTAAAGGTTTCGGGCAAAAAACAGGACCGGGAAGGCCGTGCAACCGGGTTCGGATGTATTGGGTTGGACAATTTTCTCATGGTGGATCGCTGGAAGCGGGAAAAGGGAAGGGTCGAGTTCTTCCGGTTTGCGGACGATCGTCCGGTTGCGAGAGTTTATCGGGTCAGCCGCGACGAGTTCCACGGAGAGTTGCTGCCATCAGGTCGAGAAATAGTCCTGAAGCGGCGATAAGGACAAGGTAGTCACAGTATTGGAGAATTTCGTGTCAAAAACTGTCGGGCTCAATCACCTTGGTCTTGCCGTTGCCGATCTTGACCAAACGACGTTGTTTTTCGAAAAGGTTCTGGGCTGGACTGAAACAGTTCGCGATGACGCCTATCCGAGAAATTCGATCACCGATGGCACTTTGCGACTGACGTTGTGGCAGGTGGACAAATCAGTTTCACCAAGGCGTTTTGATCGGCGCCTCAATATCGGCCTGCACCATCTGGCGCTCGAGGTCGAAAGTGAAGAGGAACTGTTGCGCCTCGCCGATGTTGTTGCCGCCTGGCCGGGCGTGAAAGTTGAATTCATGCCGGAATTCATGGGCACGGGGCCACGAAAGCACATGATGTTTGCCGAGCCGGGTGGCATCCGGCTGGAACTGGTGTGGATGGGCGCTTGAAACAAGTTCAGCCTCGAAGCGGCCGCAAGGCTTGGCCAAAAACCAGGTCGACTGGCCCACTCCGGGAGTATCCGGCTTCGTGATGGACAATCGTCGTTTGAAAAAATGCGCGGCCTCGGTTGTTCGCTGAAGCCGCACTGGTGATTGAAATCTGTTTTCAGGCCTGAATATCGACAGTTTCGCCAAGGCCTGGAGGAGGGGCGCCCGGGCCACTGGGTGCGCTGGCAACTATCTCTGGGCTTGAGGCCCCTGACTGTCCAGGCGCAGTCGGTTTTGACGCATATGCGTCTGATTTGAGAGGCTGTGCGCTGGCTGTTGCCGCGCTTGCAGATCCTACGTCCATTTTCGTCTCCTTTTGAAACCCATCCATCCATTGGATGCTCTGACGTAGTCCGTGGAGCCTTAACGAGCGCTAAAGCAAACCGGAGGCATTACAAGACGTGAACTTGAATTCAAATGAGGTGATGGTCCGGCCTCGCTTCCGCATCACCCGGGATGCGGTTCAATCATGAGGTCGAGAAGCGTGCCCTTGCGCCATCAAGGGACATTTCACCGAATGATCAACCTTCCGGATTGCAGGTAAAAAGCGCAGTTTCGTGCTGACTATTCATTGAATTTCAGTCGAAGTTGATGTGAACCCGTCTCCGGTTCCGAATTCAATGCCGTGTGCTTCGCTCCAGCAATCAACCAATCAAAAGTGGTTTTCCGGTTGGAGATAAACTACCTTGGGAATTGCGACGGCTAATCTAATAGCAAAGCTGGAATACCGGGGAAGGCTGATTAGACGGTTCGGAATATCGGATTCCCTGCGATTCAATCCTGAGAACATTTGTATGACGGACCGCTTGGAACGCAGCATGTTTTATCGGAAACAAACGCACTTTTTTATCCATTTTATGTGTGTCTTGACATTCTGTGTCACGGGATTCGGTTTCAGTGGCGGAGCCAACGCGACTACCGTTGGCCCGGCACAACTGGTGCTGGGACTTGATGGTGGAGCGCAGCAAGTTGTCAATCTGCTGATCAAGCGCCTGATTGATGTTGGTGTTGGAGCGCGCGGAGCCGCGGTCGCCGCCGTCGTAAAGACCGATAGCGACAAAAAAGGAGCAAATTCCAGCTTTTTCGGCGACACCGGGTTACTCATCGCATCTGTCGCCGACGCTGATGGTGCCGCCGAGGCCAAGGCTAGAAACAAGCTTCGCGGCAAGGTGAACACTGTTGCAACGTCAGGAAAAATTGCAGCGGCGCGCTCAGTCCTGACCTGGAAAGGGAGGGTCGTCTGGGAGGCGCCCACTGCAGCATTGCCGGTCTTGCCGGACGTGTCCAAGGTTGTTTCAGCGCAAGTCAACGTAGCTTATGCGATTGAAGGTACCGACGTTTCAGTCTCTAGCCCGGCCGGGCTTGGCGCCGGCTCGTGGGACGTTGAGCACAGTTGGAACGGCAAAACCTCTTTCCTCGGTGGCGTGGGTTTTGACGAAAGCGACCCTGAAGCCACATTTTCCGGAGATCTTTCGGCACTGTCAGGAATGTTTTCTTCAGGCCCGGGGTTCTTCAGCGCTTCTGGTCTGACACTCGCCGATACTTTTGGAATATCTGTAGATTATGCCGAGTTTCTGAGCATGGGAGAAGTCTCGGCCGAATTTGCCGGACGAATGGTTGCCGAAGCCGCTATCGTTCCTGTTCCAGCGGCTTTGCCGCTACTTGCGGTCGCGTTGGGTTTTCTCGGCATTGCCGGATGGTGCCGGAAGACGAAAATCAGCTGAATCAGCTGAAACTGCCTGGTGAGGCCGGAAGGTCGCGCAATCCGTCGGCAAATGGGCTCACCCCTGTGTCTTGTTAGGTTTCATCCCGCCAGCGTCCGGCTGACCGTATTCTGCAATGAACGTCTCCATGACCTGCTGGAATTTTTTCTCGTCGATGACGTCGTCGAAATTTTCCAGCAGGATCGTCAGAAGGTAGTTGTTTCCGAAATGCCAATCCGCGTTGAGGTCGCGAAGTTTGGCGTAGGCCTTTTCGGTGAGGGCGGCGCTAAAGCGTTTGGGAAGGGGCAGGCGTTTAGGTTTCTGGGGCATCTTCTATCTCTCCACAGCCGGAAAGTGGCTCGGTCGATCCCTTTCCGGCTTCTTCTATGTCCTTGGTACGCCGCCAGAAAACGGCATGCAGGCCCGCCATCGACCCGGGTTCGGCCTTGCGGACGATCGCCATGCGAGCCGCAAGTCCGGAAACGTCGGGAAAGTCAGCCGGGTCTGCTGGCTCACCGGAAGCCATCTTCAGGCCTGCGCACTGATGACAGATACCTTGCTTGCTGACCAGCGCACAAAGCCCGTCATACTTGTCCTCCATCGCACGTCTGGCGGCAGAAAGACGGTGGCGCAAGACCGCATCCGAGATACCCAGAACTGTGGACGCTTCGCGCGCCGAGAGATCCATGACATCGCGCAGAACCAGGGCAGCCTGTTCGTCGACTGGCAGGGATCTGCCGACGCAGGTGAAGCAATAGGAGATATGTTCCCTGACTTCATAGGCAAATTCGGGATCGGTGATGGCGCCGACCACTTCGTTCGAGAGTTCATCCGACTGCGCGCATGAATTGGCATAGGCAACCTGTGCCTCCGTGCGCCACCGTTTCTGACGGCGCAGATGATCAATTGCCGTTCTGGTGACAATCGATGTCACCCAGGTGGCGAAGCTGGAGCGTTCCTCGAAATTGGACATGTTTGACCAGGCCTTCGCAAGAGCCTCTTGCAGAATATCTTCTGAATCTTCAGGATGCCCGACCAGGCGCCGGGTAATCCGGCGCAGTTTCGGGAACTCCGCTTCGACGAGCCTGGAAAAGGCGCCTCTGTCGCCTTGCTTGGCTTGATCAATCAGGCTGTCAGGCATGGCTGGAACCCCGCTTGCAAGCAATCCCGCCAAATATGGCGCCGATGGCGAAAAAAACAAAGCCGGGCAGGGATTCAAGAAGGGACAGGTGGCCAGGCACAATCAGGAAGACGATCAATCCGAACTCGATTGTCAGGACAAGACCACTGTTGATCGCAAGGCCTGCCTGTGAGTTTGACCAGTTCAGCTTGATGGCAACAGCAAGGGCTGCCGCCCCGGAAAGGGCCAGCAGATAAGCAAAGTATGCCAGGATGGCGCCGGTTGCTCCGGGGAGGGGGCCGCCATCATAGCCATAGATTGCATAGCCATCGGCGGGCCCGGACCCCAAAGTTGCTGACAGAACAAGACCCGCTCCGGCGATGTGCAAAAGGCCCCATAGGCCAAATCCGATCGCACCCAATTTCGCAAAATTCATCATGGAACCTCCTGTTGTTTCCATGATGTTGGACGCCAGAGATGCGAAACTTCGCCAAGTGATTGTTTGGACTGGTTTTCATGGGAGCGAAATTGGGCAACCGGTTTTCCTTGACGGCGCTGGCTCGCACCCGGGTTCAGGCGCGAACCGGAGCGCAAGCCGCCGGGTTTGGAGACCTAGTCATCCGTTCCATACATGTCCCGCCGGCGCACCCAGGCCTGAGCATATGGCAGATCGTCCTCGTGACGGCCCATCGGGGTCAAATCGAGCAGATTGTAGGCCATGTTCAGAATGTCGAGCCCACGGCCGTAAGTGGAATAGCTGTGGCCGACACGGCCATCATCCAGCTTTAAAAACGTGCTGACACCAGGCAGCTCCTCGGAGTGAACGGTAGTCTTGCCGCTGTAATTGTATCCCTGGCCGGTCTGGTCCTTCTTGTCCGGAAAGGTGACCCCGAAATCGACCCCGAAGCCGTTGCCGGCGGTTGATGCCCATTCGAAGGTCCAGCCCATGCGTTCCTTGTAGCCC